GGGGTGGCGCCGCAACCTCCCCATTGACCCTGCCTTGAGTGTGACAGGGGGCGGTGCCCCAACCCCCCAATCGGCCCTACCCTGAGCGTGACTGAGGGTGGCATCGCAACCTCCCGATCCGCCCTGCTCTGTGCATGACGGGGAGGCGCCCCAACTCCCCAATCGGCCCTGCTCTGAGCCTGATCAGGGGCTGCACCTAGGGATTGGGCGTGCCCTCTGCCACCCGGGAGCAGGGCTAAGCCAGCAGGTCGTTATCTCCCGAGGGGTCCCAGACTGCGAGAGGGCACAGGCCAGGCTGAGGGACCCCCCTTCCCTCCCCCCGAGTGTACAAATTTTTGTGCACCGGGCCTCTAGTCCTATATAATAAAAGCCTAATATGCTAAGTGTCTGGTCGTCCAGTGACCAGTAGACTGTTCAACCAATCAAAGTGTAATATGCTAATGGTATGCTAAGGCCACTCAACCACTTGCTATGATGTGCACTGACCACCAGGGGGCAGACGCTCCGACCGGTAGGTTAGCTTGCTTCTGGGGTCTGGCCAATCAGGACTGAGCAAGACGGGCCAGACACGCCCTAGAGCTCTCCCACGGTCCCTCCCCGGCACCAATCATGCACTGGTGGGGTACTTCGTTCGGCCTGGCCTGCACCCTCTTTCAATCTGGGACCCTTCAGGGGATGTCAGAGAGCCAGTTTCGGCCCAATCCTGCAGGCCACTCCCCTCTTGAGCGTACCAGACGCAGGGCTCATGGCTGGCGAGCACTGCTGCTATGGTGATGCGAACTTCTCCCAGTTGGGACTGATTGGGTGCAAGCCTGTGGTAGGCGCAGTGGGGCCGGGATGAGCGGGAGTGGCAGGTAGGAGCTGCAGGCAGCGTTGGACTGCGGGTTTCCACCCGATCCCCGCAGGCCACCCAGAGGAACCCCACCCATGCACAAATTTGTGCACTGGGCCTCTAGTATTATTAGATTTTAAAAGGGGGCTTTAAACTTCCTGAAAAAAATGGGTTATTTTAAAGCAATATTATATTCTCTCAGCTGGTTAGTCTGTGGTGTTAAAGGACACTGTGGCTTTCATGAGCTTCTTTAGCTTCTTTCCCTTTTCCACACCATGACCCATGAGCCCCTTGGCTTATGTAGACTGGTGTCCATGTAGACTGGCTGGGAAAAGTAACTCAAGCTTATGAGATTCTAACAGCAGGTCTGAAGTATTCTATAGTCACATAAATGAGATTGTCATTATTACCACTATTATTAAGATCTCTTTGCTATTAGCTACTTGTCATCCTGAATTTGTCTGTTTGTCCCATTTTAACTCAATAAGGTATTTTCTGATTTTTAAAAACCTATTTGGCATCCAATAAGGTATATACATACAGCTTAAATTTATCATTTGCTCATCTTTAATATCTAAGAATTTTCAATAAGACCTGGTATGTGATTCTAGAGATATAATTACACTGAATCAAGTCAGCAGTTCACAGTAACATTGCTTATGTCACATCTCAGCCAGAGGAAGATCACACGGTATCTGTTATGGAGATTAAGCAGGCCAGGGTCAGGTCCTTTCATGAACCACCAATGGCATTTGAATTAGTGTGATTTATGGTTGCTTTCAAATCAGCCTCTCCAAAAGACTTGAATTTTAAAAACTTAACCAGCAAACCCCCTTTTCTGGAACCATGGGTGGTCTTCTGAAGCAGGTTTCAATTAGTGTATAACAACAGAGGATTCTTTCTTTTTATCTTAATTTCTAATGGAATTAAGGATTTGTATGTAAGACAGAAATAGCTCTGCTCTATCAATTTTGTTGTGGGGTTGAATTTACCAAGCAGAACACTGCAGAGGGATTTTCCTTAACTTGTCTGACTATTTACAGTAAATAGAAGATTTGCAGAACACTGTTGGCAATCCTTTAATAGCTGATTAGGGAGGCAGGCTGCCCCACAGAGAGACACACATCACACACCTCGATGTATCAGATTTTAATTGTTTCCCTTGATGTTATCAATACAAGTCTAATTCCCTTCAGAGGCCTCTAAGAAGAGGCCATCCTTCATTCATCCATATACTACTATACATTTATACAGGGTATGTACTTGGTTATTTATGAATGCAATGCCAGTGTGAAGCAGACACTAAGAAGTAAGAGAGAAACAAACTTTGAAGTATTTATAAAATACATCTTGATTGTAACACAGGTGCAAATTTTTCTGGGACTTGGGGGAGCAGGGTCGTTCTGGGCGAAGTCAGGAAGAGCACAAAAGCTGCACCCTGAAGAGAGAGGGTGGAAGGAGCTAGCACAGCACATGCAAAGCCCAGCTTGTTCTGAGAGTGACAGAGTGTGAGGAGCAGGGGTGAAATTGCTGAGGCCTGAGTTCCAGCTTGACAAGCGTCTAGTGCAGTGGTTGGCAAACTGCGGCTCACGAGCCACATGCGACTCTTTGGCCCCTTGAGTGTGGCTCTTCCACAAAATACCACATGCGGGCGCGCACGTACAGTGCGATGGAAACTTCGTGGCCCATGCGCAGAAGTTGGTATTTTGTGGAAAAGCCACACTCAAGGGGCCAAAGAGCCGCATGTGGCTTGCGAGCCGCAGTTTGCCGACCACTGGTCTAGTGGGCTCTGCCCCAGGCTTTGAACTTAACTGAAGGGAATATACTTGCCTTTAAACCAGGGGTGGGGAACCTTTTTTCTGCCAAGGGCCATTTGGATATTTTTACCATTATTCCTGGGCCATACAAAATTATCAACTTAAAAATTAGCCTGCCATATTTGGTTAAACATTTAATTAACTCACCCCTAATGCCTTGGCAGAGCCAGATCAAAATATTTTGTGGGCTCTATATGGTTCGTGGGCCAGACAGTCCCCTGCTAAACAAATGGATGACACAGCATAAAACTCTCAAATCTCTAGTCTTTTGTTTTTTTTACCAGTGCATAGTATCTCTTACCCTTTGAAACAGTATGGAGGGACCTGGAGAGTATTATGCTAAGTGAAATAAGCTAGTCAGAGAAAGAC